TCAGCTTGTGCTTCATAAGGATTTATTTTTGTTTGGTTTGTTTCATTCCAGGTTTGCCTATTCAAGTGCGGGATGCAGGACTGTCCCTTAAAGATGAAATGCCTAAATCTGATGTCAATAAAGAATACTACACCCAGAACATGGAACGAGAGGTAAGAGAGTGTAGTTATAGTCATGCTTTTTCTGTGTTGATGTATATAAGAGAGGAATGACCTAGCTTATCTTAAAATCATTTGCTTAGTCTTATTCTGTGCATGAGTTTTCAATGGTGTTTTATACATAATTATTTGTATTTGAACTACTGTTTAGATATCCAATTCTGATGGCACTAGGCCAGTTGGTGCGCTGGGAAAAGCTACGTCTACCAGTGACATGCTGCTGAAGCTGGCTCGGACCACTCCTTATTACAAACGTAACCGTCCTCACATCTGTTCCTTTTGGGTAAAAGGAGAGTGCAAGAGAGGAGAAGAGTGTCCCTACAGGTACAGAGGCATCTTAAACACTTAATATGTTAACCACTGTCAGATACAGCTCCCCTTGGGGTAAAAGAACAGGGAGTGCTGCAGATATAACACTCTGACTGGGGTCAGTGTGAAACTTGGGTTTAGTTGGGCCGTAGCACCAGTGGATGAATCTTTGTTGTGGCGAGTTGGTTTGTGAGGGATCAGCTGTGTGACCTTGCAGTGCTTTGCTGAAGCAGCGACTGCAGCTCTGCTCTTGCATAGTTCATTTTTTCCTTTTGTGGTGTCAGTCCCCTCAATCAGAGATCTTTGTCTTCGAACAAGAGGCCATTTGAAAGCCAGCTGTTATATTGTGTAGTGTTGAGCACTGAGCTATCAGAAGTGCCATTCATTCACAACTTGAGGCAGTCCTGGCTCAGTTTAAGCTCTTGTGGCTTTTTGTTCTTTTTGGCAATGTTTGTGTGAATGGGGTTAACATGTAAGTGACCAGAGGGAAGAGAGCAGTTACAGTAATTTTAATGTGATGTGACTGTGAGTGATGTTTGTTTGCTGAACCTTAGACATGAGAAACCTACAGATCCAGATGATCCTCTGGCTGATCAGAACATCAAAGATCGTTACTATGGAATTAATGATCCCGTGGCTGATAAACTCCTGAAGCGAGCATCCACCATGCCTCGTCTGGACCCCCCTGATGACAAGACTATCACTACACTGTATGTTGGAGGGCTTGGAGATACCATCACTGAATCAGATCTCAGGTGCGGTGGTGAATTTGTATTGCCCTTGACTTGGTATTTGAAGCTTTGATAACTGCTCATCTCCATGTGATAAAATCTCTTGGAAGGGGAAAAAGTCAATCTGCTTTTCAGTTTTCCTTAATGAGGAACTGGTTGGTGGGAAAGTGCAGAGGAGTGCCAGCTTAGTGAGGCACAGTAAACAGGCACATTTCAGATGCTTTGTTTAAAATTTCTCTCTATAAAGATGAGTCATCCTGAGCTGTTGGGGATACTGTGCTACACTTGGTACAAGAAGGTCCCATAGCCTCTCTAGCTCCTGAGAAAAGCTGCTGCAGAGTTTTTATTGCTCCATAATTTTATAGAGGGATAAGAGACTTGATTTCTAATGGTTACTCTGAACTAGTGATGGAGAAAAGAAAGGATCTAAGCATAACTGTTTTGGCACATGATGAGATGTACAGTGCTGTGTGCCCTGTGGCTGGAAGGAGTGACCTTTCATAACACTCATTTTTTCCCCACACAGAAATCACTTCTACCAGTTTGGGGAGATCCGAACGATCACGGTGGTGCAGAGGCAGCAATGCGCCTTCATCCAGTTTGCCACCCGCCAAGCGGCAGAAGTGGCTGCTGAGAAATCCTTCAACAAGCTCATCGTGAACGGCCGCAGGCTCAATGTCAAATGGGGAAGGTGAGTGAGGGCGAGGAAACCTTGAGGATTCTGCCGCAAGGTTCTTCACTCAGTTATGCAGCCGTGAAGAGCAGGGTTGGGTGTTACCCTCGAGTAAGTACTGATCTGTAAATAGTCAGGGTCCTCTTACGGTTTGGTTTTCTTTTAACAGTGGGATCTGGGTTGGAGGTGACACAAATTGTGTAAGGGATTTCCTGGTAGAAGGTTATGGATGAGTTTCTGTAGTTTTGTTTCTCATTGTCTCCTTTAAGCACTGTTAGCACACTCTGTACCAGGTGTCTCTGATGGGCTGTGAATTTTTCATCTTTGGCCTAAAGCAATGGGTCTGGATTAGATAATGTGAAACTACTGTGGTGTGAATATCTGCTTATCTTGCTTTTTCTCATCCTTGTTCTCAAACATTTGTCTGGTTTTTAGGTCCCAGGCAGCAAGAGGAAAAGATAAGGACAAAGAAGGCACTACAGAATCTGGGATAAAGCTGGAGCCAGTTCCAGGACTCCCTGGAGGTAAAGGAGTGTTTACATCTCTGAAATGCTTACGCTGACCTGAGAGAGGCTGGAGCTAAACCTCAGGGAGCAGTAGCAGAGTTCACCGCAGTAGAGGCACTGGTGAGCCCAGAGCAGTTACCTACAGTAGGTTTGCAGCAGATCCAGCTGGGATTGAGAGGCGAGCTTTGTCTAGAAGTAAATTCTTGATGATAAGAGTTCTTTTGTGTGATGAGTGAAAAGGTAAAGCTGAATTCAAGTTACTTAGGTCTGAGGTACTGGCAACCCACACATGGTTAATGCCTTCCTTACCCACTGAGTGTCATATGATGGAAAAAGCAAAGCTCATTTTGGGTGAAGGAAAATGGTGACTGTAGTTTGAGTGCAGTCCTTATTGCTCTGTTTCATACATGCAATAGTAGTATCACTTTGTCCTTGTGGAAGAGCTGCTTGTGCCTATCTCTGTCTGAAGGCACACGCCTCTGCATATCTTGATTAAGAGATTTTCCATAACCACCATGTACTTTTTGTGCAGCTCTCCCCCCTCCTCCAGCTGCAGAAGAGGAGGCTTCTGCAAATTACTTCAACCTACCTCCAAGTGGTCCTCCAGCCGTGGTTAACATTGCCTTGCCTCCTCCTCCTGGCATTGCTCCACCACCACCTCCAGGTACTTGTGTTTCCCCTTCAAGTGGGGGTTAGATGATCAAGTCCTCCTTGTTCTGCTCTTCCCTCACACTGATGCATGCCCCGAGTCGAGTTTCCTCATCCCTGATCATGCAGTGTAAACTGATGACCTAAAATGAGCTGTCAGCACAGTTTAATTAAACTGAGCTGCCTGTCATTGTATGTATTCACTTGCAAATTCTCAGGCATGTCAGGGATCCCTGTTCCTGGTACTGAGACCTCCTCAGTGCTTTTGCTGGCTGTGTAAATGCCACATTAACTTGAACTTCAAAGGGTAATTTTGCAACTGGTTGAATGCCAGCCTGTGTTTGGCTGTGTGTATGTATCTATCTGGAGACCCTTTTGTTTTGTGGGACATCAGACTCTTGTGGATGTATTTGGTTTACTCTATGCTTCAGTAGAAAGCATTCGATTGGCATGACAGACATCTGTCCAGTCCTCCCACCAGCTTTAATCTGGGAGGAAGGATGTGTGTTGGGTGAGGATTGCCCCCAGTTGGACCGGATAGAGGGGAAGGAGTTTGGGGATTTGAGGAGTCACAGGAGAAATGCACGTTTCTGAGGCACAGCTGTAAGCCAGCTGTTTTCTGGTGGCACTTTCAAGCAGTGATACATGTGTTGCTTGTTCTGTTTGTCTGAAACTGCCAACTTTGTTTCTGCAGGTTTCGGTCCACACATGTTCCATGCCATGGGGCCACCACCTCCCTTCATGCGAGCCCCAGGCCCCATTCACTACCCATCTCAAGATCCCCAGAGGATGGGTGCTCATGCAGGGAAGCACAGCAACCCCTAGCACCTCCTGCCACCCTCGTCCTTGAAGTAAATGTTATTTTCTAGTTACCATGATAGCACCATATGTCGAGCTGTGGGTGAGCTAGAGCAGCCTTATTTCCCTGCTTGCAAACGTTGGGCAGGCTGAGCTCCGTGTCTCTGCTAGCTAATCAGATCGTGGATACATCCCAGATCTTTCATGTAGTGTTGAGGGGTGGGGGGTTTAGGGGGAGAAGGGGCAGACAGAAGGGCTGTCAGGGATCTGTGGATCAGGTGTCCCAGAATGACTGTGCTCTCATGTATCCCGTTTGCACACTTTTAAATAAACTTCTGGAAGAAACAAAACCGAGCCCTTTTGAAGCCCATCTGATGTCCTCAGTCTGAACACCATGGACTGTGTAAAGGTAACCAGACTCTTCTCTGTCAGTAACTAATGACTAATGAGGTATTAAACACTGAATAAGAGCCAGAAAACAAGGGTATTGGATGTGCCAAACCCATGGGCTTTGCCTTACTATTGCCACATAATTTTCCCCCTTCTTTTCTTTTTTTTGACTTCTGGCTTAAAAAAAAAACCCAAACCAACCCCTTTTTCATGCTTCACTTCTAATCCTGCACATCTTGAGCAAGATAAGATTAGGTCATGCGAGCAGCCTCTGGGTGGTGCATCTGTATGTCAGCTGTGTTCGTGCAGTGGATCTGTGGACATCTTTCTGTACACAACACATGATGGGACCTGTTTTGAAGCTTCATTTGCTTGGTTTTTAAAAAAATACATTAAAATGCTTGGATTTTTCAACCTTTTGCTTAGACCCTGCTTGGTGGAGACAGTGTCTGAGGACCTGGGAGTTGTATTTGGCTGCTGCCAAAGCCAGGGGGGAGAGTGGGCAATGACAGTAGGTGTTACCTCCTGCCCTGAGTGATGCCACTGGTGCTGCCAGGCTCTGGGAGGTGGTACCACTGTCGTGGTTGGCTTCCTCTGGAGAAAAACCTGGGCTCTGAGCACAAGTTACTGGTTTAGCTTCTGTAAGAGCCCTTCCAGGGCAGTGTTGGAGGCCAGGAAGGAGCCTGCTGGTGCATGAGGAGGGGCTGCAGCCTTTGTCACTGCTCTGGCCCCAATTTGCCCTCAGAGCTGTGAGTGCTGAGCAGGCAGATCTGGAATGCAAACAGGCTTTACGTTGTCACAATTCATTTATTACTTCCAGCCAGGTCCCCAGGGGTACAGAGGTTCTACAGCTAATGGACAAATCGGAGAGAGAGGAGTTTGGAACAGCCCTTGATCATCACAAGATTTTAATGTTTAAGGAAAGGACCTTTTTGCTTTCCAGTTGCATTTTCCATTTCCCTTCAGTTAAAGTTTCCTACCTGAATGGTGTGTTGTGGCAGCAGACTCCCTCTGTGGGATGTGCACAGCACCACACGTACACCTGAGGCAGCTGTTAACTGTTTTTTTTACCAGCAAATTTACTTGCCCAGTTCAACCATGGTGGTGGAAGAAAAAACATTTATGCTGATGTTCCTGCTTTTGGAAGATAAAATAAAGGTAACATTAAGAACCTGATGGAAGCATTTCAAGTTAGAGATCCTTGTTAGTAATGAGCAGGGCTTTCCAGATGTTCCGATGCCTGTCCTGTAGCCTGTTGGTAGCTGTGTGTCCCACTGTGTGTCACTGCTGGTGCTCACATTCAGAGGGAAGCCTGTGCTTGCTCTGGAGTTGTGGCTGTGCTCATTTTCCCTCTTGCTGATGCAGAAGTTACTGAAATACCCTGGCAATGTCTTCAGATTGGTGCAGTTCTGCAGTGCAGTGATTCCAGGCAGGGCCTGATCCTTACTGACTGGATTGGAAGCAAATCTGGCATAAGTCAATCAAAGAGTTGAGATGTTTAAGCAAGGCATGCAGATAGCAGTGAGAAGGGGAAAATATCAGCTGCCAAGTGCCAGCCAGAAGCTTATGGAAAAGAGGGCACAAGTTTCCAGCGTGTTCCTCTCCCATATACCCTGGTTGTGCTGTGCTAGTGAACAGGCAGATTTCCAGTTCCTCATTTGTTTCTGTTGGCCAGCCAAGCCCTGGGTAACAGCTTTTAACATGCCAATGCTTCTGGTGACTTGTTTTGCTGCTGCTCTTCAATTATCACCTCCTCTTGCTGTCCTGACCGGAATGACAGATGTAGAGTTGTCCTGAAGATGGAATTTCTCCATCTGTTGGAGCAGGTCTTGTGTGTCAGTGCAGCAGCAGTGGGACACCTTGGTGTGAATGCAGCCAGTGCTCCTGCCATTTTCCATGAGGACAGGCTGTACAGGATGTTTTGTATGGAATTGTGTTAATGGTGAGAGCTTGGCTGCCCTTGTGTCAGTGGCGGGTACAAGGGGGGTTCAAAATGGTCCTGGCCTTGAACTTGTTCAAATCCTGCTGAAGAAGGCAACAACCAGAGACCACCAGCTTGGCTTTCATGGAGAACACTTACTCCTCTCTTCCCCTACAGTGCGAAGTGTGCTTGAGTCTAGCGAGAGAAGCATCCATGGTGATGGGGAAGGGAGCACGTGTGCTACAGCTCGTCGCTCTCCGGTAGAATCCGCACCCAGCCTTGCGGCACCCTGTTGAAGTTACGCCTGTGGTCAATCACCTCCAGAGCGCTCAGGTTGTCCAGCTCCGTGGCAGGCACAAAGAACAGGTCACTGAGCTGTGTTTTGTCAAATGGGGCTGGAGTCCTGCAGTGGAGAAGCAGCAGATTTAGCATGTTACAAGGAGGGATCGTGAGTAGTAAAGGTGAGAGAAAAAGCAGGTCTGGATTTAGTAACTGAGCCCAGCAGTAATCTCTCAAGGCCTGTAGAAAGTGATAACCCTTCTCTTCATCCCCAGGATGCGGTTAGAGCCTCTGCCAGCCCAGGGAGATGCTTCTCTTGTACAGAGCCTACCTAAGCTCAAGATTCAGCAAGCCAGAGTGGGGTTTGGTGCCTGAGTGGTTGTGGAATGGGAGGGAGGAAGTGTGTTGTTACCTTCACTGTAGTCTCTTGATGGGCTCCACCACCAGCAGTAGAGATGAGCTATGTGTGAAAGGGGTTAGATTAAGAGAGCAAGTGATGGCAACAAACCCTCTGGTCTTTAGGAAGTGACTTGTCCACAGCTAAAGTGTTCTGCGGAGGGCTGAGGCCAATAGTGCTGCCTCCTGATGACTCTAGCATGTGTGCAGGCAACTGCCTCTCTCTTGGCCTTGGCTCTAGGTAGCCTTTTGGGACAGCTTCTCTTCAACAATGACTTAACAGGAGGAGCAGTGCGGGGGCAAGAGCTGTCATCCCTTTGTGGAGAAATGTGGAAAGGGATTTGGGAAGAGAGTGACAGCCTCTGAGAAGCCAAGAATGTTGGTTTTGGAGCAGCACATGGAGGCTGAGCTATCAATGAGGCAGAGCTGGGAATATTTGCTTTGGGAAGCGCTGCTTGAACATGAGTAACGTGGCACTGTTTTGCAACAGAAGAGAAATAAAGGGGGGAAAGGTAAAAGAGGGAGGTTTGTTCCAGGAACTTTCTCTCTTCTGGGAAATGACAGTCATTTCCAAAGCTTGGGTTTACTCTCTCTTAAGGCAGTGCAATTTAGCACAGTGTCCTCACATCACAGCCTGAATAAATCCCAACTTCAACCAGACTTGAAGTCTGCTTTAACACAGTTGCTGTTGAGATGGTGAACGTGCCCTGTGACCTGGGTGAGCTGAGCTGGGATTCACCTCGCTTTGGGCAACACCACTGGCTTCCCTCTTAGAAGATTTGTCCTCAAAAGCTTGTTTTTCTGCAGTTTGGTATTTGATGAAGTGAGAAGTGATTTAAAAGCCAGCAGCTTGGAAGATCATGAAAAGCCCAGTTAAAAGCAGATTGGCTCTCTGAAACTTCATGCCTCAGTGAAGAATTAGAGGAGGTGGCAAGAGGCTTGGTGTTAAATTAGCATCCATCTGTATTAAATAACAGTTCAAGACTTTAAATAGAAAGGCAGCATGTGAGAAGGGAGAAACAGAACAGGGGAAAGCATTATTCAGAACCATGCCCTTGCTTCAGTCCCCATCCATAAATAAATCCCGAGGCAGGAACATGGGTAAATGTTGAATAAAAGAGCTCAGTGTGTGCAGCAGCTCCTTGTTCTCCCCCTACGGCACCTCCTTGGATGTTACTGCTCCAGGGAAGCTTCTGGGAAGGAAAACCTGAGGGAACAGCTCTTGCAGCCCCTTTGCTTGTCCCTTCTGTTATCCCTCTTTCCCTCAGCCCCACTCCATTGCAGACCAGTGCATTGCAGTACTCACTGGTGTGGAAGGGGAAATGCAGAGGGAATGAGCATGCAGCAGCCTTGTGCTGTGCCCCTTGCCACACCACACAGCACAGCCCCAGGGCTGAGGGAGAGAAGAGCAGCAGAGGGATGGTGGCAGTGCCATCTCAGCTCCACCAGCCGAGATCTCTGCCCTTTGGGACACCATTCCCATGCAGAGGGGTTGTAGTTCCCAACAGCTCCTTCTGCCAAGCACTCAAAGCCCAACAGTTGTGTCCCCCTCAACTTGGATACAGCTTGACTGTGGGCTAAGGGAAGCTGCTTCCTGCAGAGGCCCAGCACCATGGCAGATGATGGTGTGACAGGGAGCAGTGCTGTGCCCTGGAAGGCAGCTCCAGTGGGAATTTGCCTATTGGAATGTGACTTTGGCCATGCCAGCAAGGATAACATACTGTCATCCTCATGGAAGAAGCTTTAGGGAAGGAGGAGAGCCAGGACCTCAGTTTGCAGATTCCCTGGGATGATGTTCAGCTTAAAAACTCACTTGTCTTTATCCTACCTTGGGCTGCTGAGGCTTTGCTACCACCAGATCTCCATCTCCTGGGTCCCCACCAAGCACCTTCCCAGAAAGGAGATAATCCAGGGTCCCAAACTCTACCCCAATGTGATTTGGAGGTGCAAGGAGGCAGCAGCCTTCCATACTCCATTGAAAGCATGGATCTTGCCAGGCTGAGCCAGCAGGACCTCCCTGGCCTGAAGACTTCAATCTCAAGCAGGTGTTTGGAAGGAATCTGGTGACCTCTTAGCACTTTGTGGGAAGATTAACCTTATCCCCCCACCACTTCCAGCAGCTGCTTGGATACCTTAGTGACATTATGAGAGAGACTTGGCACTATCTGTGCCATTCCTCCACCCAGCCCAGAGCTGAGCCTGCCTGGAACAGCAGCGATTCCTTCTCCAGGACCATGTGCATGGGAATGAGTCCTCCCAGGTTTCATCCCTGAGGTTACCCAGTGAGATGAAGCTTCACTAACACAGTGGTGGGGCTAATAGGAGATGTGGGGAGCTGCTGGAGGCTGTGCAGAGGAGCCACAGAGTGCTGTATAAGGACGGGATGGAACATTGCATTCCCCTGGCAGGATGCAAGGTGCTTCCTGAGGTAGGGACAGACAGGATGCTGGTGCCTGCTCCTTGGCCAGTGTTACCTGTTGAAGCTCCTGAAGTCCCACTGGAAGAGTCTCATGGGTGGCTGGTACTCGCCGAGCACAGCATTGTCCTTGTCACCGAGGAGGCCGTGCCATGGGGATCGGTAGCCCTTGGGGATGGCAGTGACATTGAACTTCTCCGGGGGGACTTCTTTGAGGGGACCTGAGTACCCTGTGCAGGGTGAGAGATGACAGGGGCTGATGTGGATACAGGAGTATGAACATATAACAGATACACCTGGTATGTATTTCTATATATAAGGGGTTTGGTGCTCGCTGCCTGCAGCCCCTCAGTGTGAGCTGACAGCGGTGTCAGCTCTGGGGTGCAGGTGCCATTTACCTGGGGCCAGAGAATCGGGGTTGAGGATTTTACTCATCTGCAGGACTTTCTCTGTCTTCTTGGGCACTTCAGGGGGGCCGCCCTGGGGCGATGCTGCCACGTGGAGCTCGGAGTGGTACCTCTGCTGGCCCCCAGCATCCTCCCCTGCCTGCAGAGGGGAGAGTCAATGGGCACAAGGAGCTCCCCTTGCCCTGGTTGGGACTCAAGAGGTTGCTGAAAGCATCTTGGAGCCTCCTTCACCAACTCACCGTCCACTCATTTGCTGCTCCCTCACTGTCACCTCTCTCTGTGCGGTGTGAGCCGCCTGGCCCTGGGAGCTGCAGGAGGTGAGGAGAGGGGTTAGTGATGCACAGAGGGACTGGTGCCATCCCCTTGCTCTTGTGTGGATGCTCAGCCTTGCCCATCTCCATACCCATCCCACCAAGCCTCTCCCTTCATCTCAATGTAACTGCATGGCTGAGACCTCCCCTGACCACACCAGGAATCGCCTCCCTGCTGGGAAAGGGCTGTCCCGGTGGGAGCTGGGGCTGAGCCGCAGACCCACCTCCCTGTGGCTGCCGAGGGTCTCAAAGGTGAAGCGCTGCATCCGGCGCTGGCGCTGCTGGAAGAGCCGGGACCCGCGGTTGTGGGGCAGGGAGAGCTCCTCTATCATCAGGTCCCGCGTGGTGCTCATCTTCTTGCCCAGGTCCAGCCGGGGCTCTGGGGAGGGCCAGGGGAGAACACAGCCACAGATGAGGCTGCTGCAGGGCTGGGGACCCCCGTGCCTGGTGCAGGGACAGCGGTGTCCCATCCCTGGGGTCCCTGCTGCTGTGCCTGCACCCGGAGCTGTGCCAGGGACCAGTGTGGGGAGTTATCCGGGAGTCACCTCAGCTCCAGGGGCTCTGACAGCTCCTCCCACCCCCATGCATGGACCCCTCCAGCCCTCAACATGCAATGGCTGCCCCTTGGGGCTGTAGTGGCACAGAGACCCTGCGGGACCTCAACCAGAGCTGGGTCTGGCCCCTGAGCAGGGAGGTCAGCACCCCCAGCACCCCCTTACCATCCTCAGGGCCTGGTCCCATGATGGCCATTACTTGCTGCTGTGCTCCTGGGGCAGCTCTGTGCGAGGGGGATGGATCCTGGAAGAGAGAGGCAGCCCTGGGGTGGCACCAAGCATGGGGATGCATCAGCCCCAGGCATTCCATGGGGAGAGGTCAGGATTGGCTGAGCATCCCCCCTGGCCAGCTTCATCCCTGAGCATCCCCCCTGGGCAGCATCACCCCTGAGCATCCCCCATGGGCAGCATCATCCCTAAGCATCCCCCCTGGGTAGCATCACTCCTATTCGGTTCTCCATTCAGTTACTGGATGCAGGAGAACATTCAAAGCGTGCTGCCCTTCAGCCTCTGCCTGTTGCCTTTCTATAGGGCAGAAAGTGCCCTGCTTGCCCACACTGAGCCGGTGTCCTCATGCCCTGAGCCCCCTGGGAGCAGCACCCACAGCCTGCAGCCGAGCAGGGCCCTGGCTGCCCCCCCCCACCAGCACCTCTGCTCCAGCAGAGCTATTTTCAGCCATGGCCCTGCCCCTGCCGGAGCTGGGCACACAGCCGGGAGCCGTGTACCGGGCACCCACTCTGGGGACACCATGCCCTGACCCATGGTGGTGATGAGCCCACCACTAAGACTGGGGTGTCCCCAAGCACCCACCCATCCGCTGACCCCAGCGTGGGTCCTCACCTCCCTTACCTGGCCAGGGGGATGTCCCTGGCGTTGGACACCAAAGATGCTCTCCTGCTGCACTGGGGATGAGGCTGAGGCCAAGCTGTTGTCACCAGTGCTTGGTGGCCCCAGCTGGTCCTCTGGGACGCCCCAGGGCTCCTGCTGCTCGCCCCAACCCGTGCTGGGCTAAAGACCAGATGCCAAGGTCCAGCGAGGGACAGCAGCTATTTCTGGCTGAGAAAGGGGGCGGAGCAGGGATGATCCTTGGGGACAGGGATCTGTCACCCTGCATGGAGCAGGGATGATCCTTGGGGACAGGGATCTGTCACCCTGCATGGAGCAGGGATGGCCCCTGGGGACAGGGATCTGTCACCCTGCATGGAGCAGGGATGATCCTTGGGGACAGGGATCTGTCACCCTGCATGGAGCAGGGATGATCCTTGGGGACAGGGATCTGTCACCCTGCATGGAGCAGGGATGATCCTTGGGGATAGGGATCTGTCACCCTGCATGGAGCAGGGATGATCCTTGGGGACAGGGATCTGTCACCCTGCATGGAGCAGGGCTGGCCCTTGGGGACCAGGATCCTATCACCCTGCATGGAGCAGGGCTGGCCCTTGGGGACTGGGATGGTGTCCATGCAGCAGCAGCAGCAGGAGGTGACCATGTGCCACATGTGTGCAGGCCACCTCGGAACAGACCAGAGCCAGGCCGGTGGGATAACGGCAGTTTATTTCCATGTTGGGTATACATGTGTGTGGCAAAGGCGGGTTGTGGCTGGTGAAGCAATGGGAGCTGTTTCCTGAGCAGGACCAGCTGCAGGGATGGGAGCAGGGATGGGCTGTCTCTCATAACATGTCCTGGAGAAAGGGAACGGGTGACAAGGACTCCCATGGCAGAGCCCCCGCAGCACAAACGCATCCTTTCTTGGTGCCTGTCTCATGAGCACCAAGGCCGTATGCAGTGTGTGGGTACCGTTGGTCCCTGCTGTAGCATCTCCTGATACCCAACCAGCTCCTGCTCACCCTTGGCTGGGGACAAGTGCTTTGGGCACCCATTGCCCTCCCTGGGCACCACTGCTCTGCCCAGGCTCTGCCTCTGTGTCCACCCTGACAGCCTCCTGTCCCCATCACCCATCCCGAACCTCCCTCTGGCACTGCTGCCCTCAGGGGCCTCTGCCTGCCCCCAGCCCCTTGCAGGGCTCCCCATGGGGACACCGTGTCCCCAAGACACTCTCATCATCACCTCCTGCACCCGCACCTCTTCCAAACCCTCTGCAACCTGTACCGCTTCCTTCAGCCCCCATAGACCCACATCCCCCTCTGCCCCAGTGCCCACAGGTCCCAGTGTGTCCCTCCATCCCACAGGGATGGGGACAGGGATTGACAGAGGCTGGGGATAGGGACAGTGACTGAGTATAGGATGGGGCTAAGCCTCTTTGCCTGGGCAGGGTCTTAGGGCACCTTGATGTGGCAATAAATATCTTTGGCTCTCTTTTTGGTCACCAGGGAAGGATTTGGGGGAATTTCTTTGGGGAAGAGTTAAAAGTAAAACCAAAAGAAATAAAGAACTGGGGGGGGTAGGGGGGGGCTGGAGTAAAAACCTAACTTTTCTTGCCCCAAATCTGGTTTCAATTGGAACCAGGCTGGCAGAGGGGGCACAGCCACCCCAGGAAAGCGAAGCTGTTGTGACACCCTTGGTGACACCTTTGCATGGGGACAGTGGACCACAGAGCCCATCCCCATCCTGGCTATGGGGCATAGGCTGCAGTGGGGAAGGGCTGTGCTCCCCCTGCTCCCGCTCTGCTGCTGACCACGCAGTCCTGCCCCGAAAGGTTAAGGTGTAAAAATAGAGCGTGGCCCTGGGCCGACGGTAGGCAGGAGACACCCGACCCCGCTGGCACGATGAGGGGCCTCGGCAGCCCCACAGGGGAGAGGGGACACCGGGATTGGGGGACCTGAGCCCCGAGGGTTGATGTGTGCCCGGTGGGGCCAGTCCCGGTGCTGGTGGGGCTGGGGAGAGGGCGGCCTGGCTGGGGCTGGCTGGTTTAGGAGGTGCAAGGGGCCCCCGAGGGCAGCCCCCCCGCCTTCATCCTTATGCTGCCGGTCCAGCCCCGCGGGCAGAGGTTGAAGCTGTGGATGCCGGGGCTCTTGGTCCCCGAGTCCTCGGAGTCAAGGGAGACGTCCGAGTCCGTCGGGGACCGGGAGGTGCAGCGCTTGGCCACGGCCCGTGCGCCCACCACGGGGGATGGCAGCGGGCTCTTGGGGCTGGGGGACAGCCCCGGGACGGGGCACGGGGCCGTGCTGGGCGGCAGCAGGAGCCGGCGACCCTCGGCCCATGGGGCTCGGGGCATCCCGGGGGACGCACAGAACTGGGGGCTCTCAGCCCGGGGTGAGCGCAGGGGGCTCTTGCGGGTGGTTGAGGGGCTCCCCATGCCGCTGCCGGCAGCCTGCAGAGCCGGGGCTCGGCACCCCTCCATCCGTGCCGGCCGCGGGGACTGGGGCAGGCTGGGGGGGCCGGCGGGGATGGGGGTGAAGGGCCGGGAGCCCTCCGGCCCCAGGGCTTTGGGAGAGGAGCTCTTCCTCCGGGCGGCGTTGATGATGTTCCTGGCGAGCCGCGCCTGCATCTGCCGGCTGGCCCGGGGGTCGGCCTCCTGCCGCAGCGGCGACAGCGACCGCTCGCTCCACGGAGGGGACATGGGGGGTCCCTCGTCCAGCTCGGGCACAGAGGCAGGGCTGGCCCAGCCGTCCAGGCTGCCCGTGCGCCGCGCCAGCCGCGGGGTCCATGTGGGTGATGCGGGGAGGGATGTTCGCCTTTCCTGGAGGGACAAAGAGCGGGTTAATGCTGGGGGGGTGAAGGGGAAAGAGAAGAGAGACAAGGGCAGGATTGGTGCAGGGCAGGCTTCATGCATTGCATCCCCTGCGAGGGCTCCCCGAAGATGTCTCTGTACTCCTCATCATCCCAGGAGCAGGCTGAGCCTGCAAGCAATGATCCTGGACCAAAGTATGACCCAGGACCTCTCGCTACCTGCAGCATCCTAAAGCCTCGTCCAGGACCATCACCCAGGAGCTGCTCCCCAGCCGGCAGGAAAGAGAAGAGCCAGGTCTGACAGCGCAGAGTGTATTCAGAAAGAGGGGGAAACAACGGAAAACACAAGAGAAATGAAAGCACAGTCGAAAGGCAGCTCAGTACCGCAGGGAGCGCAGTGGGAGCGAGGGATGGGCAGAGGCACGGCTGGACCAGGGGCTGAGCATCACCCAGCACCCTGCCTCTGCGCGGCACATCCCTGGCTCCCGGCTGCACAGGGACCCCGCAGCATCCCGGTCCCAGCACCATGGGGCTCCGCTGCTCCCCCGGGGATGTGGCTCTTCCTCCGCGGCGTGGAAGCAAACGAGGATAGATCCCGAAGGAGCAGCGACAGAGACAGGAGCAGGCACAGTGAGGCGGAAAGGCGGTGTGTGCCCTCCGGGTTTGCTTTGGTAGGAGGCGATAGGAGCCGGCAGGAGAGAGAGGCTGCGGGTGAGCGGGCAGAGCCAGGCTGCGAGAGCTGGAAAGGCAGGAGGCGAGGGAAGGGTGGACGCAGCCAGAGTTGCGATGCTTCATACAGTTTCCAGGCAAGAGAAGAGAGAAAGTGCCGGCGGCCCCATGGGATGGGCAGGCTCCCGATGGCTCTTTGGAATCCTGCGGGCTTTACACCCCGACCTCTGCCACCTTCCCAGGACCCCGCTGCTCCCATTACACCGGAGCTCGGCAGCGCCTGTCTCACCACTGTCCCAGCACTGCAGCCTCCCAGCTACTTCTATGTCTTTTTCCCCTCCTTTTAGTGGTTGGTTCAGCTTTTGGCACCCCCCGTGCGCCGTTAGGAGAGCAGCCCAAAACTCCCGTATTTTCCTCTCCGCCACCATTACTTGTAATACAAAGAAGGTTTCCACACCTGGGGCTCGATGCCGGCATTCCTGGTGGAGTAGGAGGGCCGGGGTGCCTGGAATCCTGCCTTTGCCCGAGGCGGCAGCAGGCGGCATGGGGAGGCCAGCAGCACCTCGGCCGGGGCTCCGGGACCAGGGAAGGGGCTGGAGGTGGTTTGGCCAGAGCTGGACATGGCAGAGGGATGCCAAACAGGGGAAGGAGGCAATGGAGAGGTCGGGCAGGAGGCTTGCTGTGAGTAGGGATAGGCATCGGGAAGAGAGGGTCTGGGTGGAGGCATCTCCTGGGGCATGGACCTTGTTGGTGACTTGGATGGAGAGAGGATGAAGAGTGAAGGCTGGAGCTGGTAGGGCTGGTGCTTGGAGATCTCCAGCTCCTTCTGGGAGACCTCATTCTCCATCAGGTTGCCGCTGTACAGAGATGTTGGGGGGGTTTTGGAGGATCTGGAGGGACTCTTGGGGGGGTGTCTGGAGATCATGGGTGACAGGCAAGCGCTGGCATCGTACTTCCAGGAGGGAGGCAGGGACATGGTGGGTGACGGGGACCGCAGCAGCTCGGGCTGCGAGGGAGCGTTGACGATGAACTTCTCCATCCTGGACTGCCGGCGGGCAAAGAGCTCGGCTCCCTTCCCTCTCGCTTCAGTGAGGTTGTGGCTGGGCTGCGGCTTCGGCTTGGGCTTGATGGTGGGAGACTTGAGGCAGGAGGACCAGGCTGGAGCATCATCCGCCGGCAGGAGCTGCTGCCCGCCCCGGGCCGTGCTGTTGGGGACGAAGTTGGCAGCTTCAGCCCCGAGGGCAAAGGGCTCATCCTCAGCACCGGGCTCCCCCTGCTCCTTCTGCTTCTTCCTGCTGTCCGCGCTTTGAACCAGGTCCAGCAGAAAGGGGTTGGGACCCAGCTTCGGCTTCTCAACAAAGGTGAACATGGGCTTCTTGCCGGTTCTCCGGGCAGCCGACTGCTCCAGGATCCCTGTTTTAGGCAGGGGGTTCGGCCCGCTCCCCCCACAGCCCATGGGGGGGGCTGGCAGCATCTTCTGCTCCTGCGGGGGATACAGGGCTGAATAGGCAGGGGGTGAGCGGACACGGGTGAGAGGCGGGGGGCTGCTCAGGGTCTCTGCATAGGTGGGTGGTGGGGGCACCTCGGTGGCGGGGGGTCCCTCTGCGGGCTGGCTGCTGGTGGGGGATGCCTGGGTGCCGAAGGGTCTGGCTGTTCGGTTCTTCACCGGATTGGGCTTGGCCAGGGTGAGATGGACCTCATAGTACTGCCGGCCCTGAGCCCCGTTGTGCTGCTGGCCGGCAGGGGATGCTGTCCCTGTGGCTGTCCCTGCTGGCGCGCTGGGCACCTCGCCGGGCACCTCGCCATCCTTCCCCTCCTCGGGGCTCCGCGGCAGGCCAAGAGCCGCCGTGCTCGGCCCCGCAGGGGCTGCCGCATCCCCGAGCGCCCCTGCCCCGCTCTCCATCCCGCCGGCCGCCCGCTCCTGCACGCCGTTGGTGGCAGCCGATGTCATGTTCTCCTTCAGGTAGATGCTAAGCGGGACCTGCTGGGCTTCAGCCGGCGGATCCCTGCATGGGGACGCATTTGCCTGCAGCCCGCCTGATGGGGTGCCCGGCTCCAGCTTCACCCCCTGCCCCTCGCCCTCCTCCATGGCTGCCGGCCGGGGCGGGGGGCTCAGCGGCTGCCCCGCGGCATGCCCGGCCCCAGAGAGCCCGTCGACGCGCTGCTTGCGGCGGTTGAAGAGCAGGACGCCCTTGGAGCTGGGGCCCGGCGCCGTGGTGAGCTGCGCCGCGATCCGCCGGCTCCGCGCCTTCGCCTCCTTCAGCTCCTTCTCGGAGAGGCTGGCGCTGCGGGACAGACCTGGGCAGAGGGGATAAAGGGTTAAGGGGGGACTAAGAGGGAATGCGGGTCTCAGCCCTCCCCAGCCAGGACCCGCAGCCCTTCCTCCAGGTATCCCCCAGCACCCCAACCCCTTCCCTGACAACAGGGGGATGCTCCGGGGCTGGGGTACACAGGAATATCACAATCCAGGGGTGATGGGAACCCGCTGCAGCCCTCACTGAGATGCTGAGCTGCAGCTCTGCACACCGGGGGAACAGACAGCAAAGCTCAGGGGCACTCAGGACCTTTCCTCCCTTCCCACCCTGTATTTCAGCTGGGCTCTGTGCACCCACCGCAGTGACCCCATGGGAAAGGAATTTCTACCAGGGCTCCAGCACGTCTCATGTTGCAGCTCACACGGTTTTGGCCCCCGGCTCGAAGAGGCAACAGGCAGGGAAGGGGCCAGTGCGTGTCCCCCTTACCAGCCCCTCGCCCCTACTCCCGGCACTCTCAACCCGGAGCAGGCAGGAAAGCAAACCCAGCACCAGCGGGGAGATGCCATCCCACCATCACCTCATGGCAAGGCTGGTGGCCAGCCCCATTTGGGGACGGATTTAAGGAGCAACACGAGATGGCAGCAGCTGACAGAGGCTGTGCAGAACCTGACCCGCCGGACACACGCAAGGAGCCAACCTCATGGCTTGAGGGCCTATGTAAGCGCTAAAAGCGAAGTGTCCCAAGCCCGGTGAAAGCCGCGCAGTGAGCAGCAGGAGTACCGCTGTGCTTCTCGTGTGCTGGCCGAAAGGTCATGGCACCAGCCCTTCCCAAAGGCCAAAAGGATGTGGAGCTGCCGGGAACACATTTTCTCAGGGTGAGCCATTTCCTACGATCTCGCCCGTGGGAAGGGCAGCATTCCCGGCCCTGCCGAGCCCACTGCTTGGGAGCATCAGCATCGCCCCAGTGCCCACCAAGGGTGCAGCCCCCTCCTCAAAGGCGCTGCTGGGATGGCTGGGATGGGGTGTCCCCGCTCCGGTCCCGGCAGGGAGGTGGGTGGTGAGGGCCCCTTCCCTTCCCAACTCTTCCTTTATTCCCTTCCTTCATGTGTTTCTCATTTTCTTGCCTTCTGTGCCGCTTGGGAGCCTTCCAGGATATTTTCAGCGGTGGCTCAGCCTACCAGCGAGGGAAGGGATGGATGACTAAGCCAAATCCTTCCAGCGAGCCCACGGTAAAGCAAGAGGGCTGTGCAAGCTGGGCATCTCCTCTTCCTCACCCTTCATCCCTCCCACCTCCTTCTGCACCCAGCAAGTCTCTGCCCTGATCCCAGCATCGCTAAGGCATGCACGACGGCCTTGCCTCACTGGAGAGGAGGAGGATGAGGGTGGATGAAGCATTCAGGCTGCCGAATAGGAGGGGGTTGGCTGGGCACGGAGGAGGAGAGGCAGAGATGCCAATGGCAACTCTACCCTGGAGAGGCAAGGAGAGGCAATGAGAGCCGAGGAGCCGGCCCGCAGCAGCAGCAGCAGCATCCCCTTTAGCGCCCGGCATTGTTTAACGCCCCGTTCCTATTTGCTTTGGCGGCGGCACAGAGCGGGGCCGCGGCTTCCTCCGGGCGGGCTGGCTGGAGGGCGGCCAGCGCCGCGGCTCCTGCTCCATGGGGTCGCCCTCGCCGCCTTTATCTCCGAAGCGGAGCAGAACCAGGGCCAAGGAGCCGTTGAGAAAGCAGCCACAGGCTCCAGCTGTCTGCAGCCTGCGTGCTCCGAGCCCAGCATCCCGCTTCCTCCGAGGCCCGGGCCGCCTAAGAAGGCGAGATCTCAGCGGAGCCATTTCGCTGCCTCTCGCTCTTGCTACTGCCTTTTAACAGCAACCGAGGGCCCCTGGGGGATCTCCTCCATGCTGGAGGGATGATTCAGCTCTTGGCCAGCCTGTTCCTGTCTGGACAGGCCGCCGGATACAGTAGTGTATAGCCGGGATTTGTCCCACAGACTTCGCTCCCAGGTACCCCCATCCCTGTTCTCCCATCCCTCTGGGCCAGGGTGTGCTGCAGAGTGGGAGCCCCCCCGCCTAAAATTCCCTGCCTGGCATCCATTCCCAGCATCATCTCACAATCCCCTATCCTCCATGCAATTCCAGCAGCTCCTCTGCCCCTGCCCTCCTGGTACCCACCATTCCCGGGATGCTCCACCTGAGCCTGCTGGAACTGAATCCCTCAGGATACTAAACGGGGATAAGAATTGCTCTTCACACCCAACTTTTATCGCACGGATGGAGAGCACCGACTCCTCCGGCAGGCCAGGAAATTACAGAGCACACCCTGCACACCGCCCTGCCTGCTCAGCTGCACAGACAGACGGACAGACCCTGCAACCGGCGCTGCAGGTACCACTGCAAATGGGGCTCATCATCTATTGACCAGGGGTGACATACCATCCCCTCTCTGCTCCAGGCTGAGCGATGGGATTAGGTTATTCAACCTGGTGTGAAAGCCTTTAGCCATCTCCCACCATAGCCTGAGGGACCCAGTCCCTGGAAGCACCCCTCCTGGCCACAGGGAACATCCCTTCCTCCTTCCCCAGCATCCCAAGCCATGCAGGGACTCCCAGACAGACTCTGGATGGGTGCTTCCCCCAGTCCCAGACAGGAAGGAACTGAACACACTAAGAACATGGAGATGCTGAGGAGCAGGAGGAGGGTTGCGGGGCTGAAGGCAGCCCAAGGAGCACAGGGAGGAGGTGACAGCAGTTATGTGCAGCCAAGGCACTGGAAACTGGCTTCCGCCCATTAACGCGAGTCCAGTCCAAAATCCAAAGGGTGACTGGTTCTTCTTGCGCTCTTCCACTCCTCCTTCCTTCCTTCCCACGCCTCACACCAGCTCACCACCCTTCGGGAAGGAAACGTCTCCCCTCTCCAAATGTCCCAGCTTCATCCAAGAACAATGAATCCAGTCCCACCAGCCCTCTCCACTGCTGCATCCCTGCACTGGGAGTCCTCTGCGGTCCAGGGATTCCAGGGAAGGAGATGCTCCATGTTTCCCGCAAGGCCCCTGGGCTCCCAGCACATGTGAGCTGAGCCAACAGCCCCTGCGCACTTCAGCTCCAGCCAGAGGGGCCTTTAGATCCCTATCTATATATTTATACAGGCACTTGCTCCGTAGGTTTCCTGTTGCTCCAAAGGTGACTTCCAGCAACATCCCCCAAGTGCGGGGCTTAACAGCTTCTTACCAAGCTGTCAGTCACCCTTCTCGCAGCACCTTCTGTGCTTTCCCCTCCAGAGCGAGGATGACGAAGGTGATGAAAAGCATTTTTGTTGCTCTCCCCTCCTGGCTAGATGAGGGGGAAAAAAACCCTTCCAGCCCAGCTTTCCATGCAAAGGATGGGTTTCCCTGCACAGCGCCACTGCAGAGCATCTGAAGTCCAGCCAGCAAAGGCTGAAAGCACCATCTGACCCCAAAGGATGGTGAACGATGTATTAGGCCCTGCCTGTGGCCCATCCTGCCCTGCCGTGGACTCCAAGAGCTGGAATGGGGTGAGGATTTGGCTCCAAGCTGTAGGGAAAGGAGATGCTCCAGGGCTCTCTGTGCTGGCAGATTCAATGTCCATTGCTGGTCTTGATGTGGCTGGGATGTCACAAGAAGAAAAGCAGTGATTTGGAAGCTGTCACCTTGCAGTGGGTGGCTGTGAGCACAGGCCACGGTGCTGAGTCCTTGTATGGAGAAGCCAAGAGGTACCAGAGTCCTGGTGGGGCCGGTGGGATGCAACAGGCTGTGAACCTTCAGGTTGGGCTCTATCCCTACCCTGCTCCTGGTTTGGATGCTCATGGCTGCATCCATCCCAACGCTGCAGCCCACCTTGGCCAGCTCACAGGGTGATGCTGAGGATGTCCCACTGGACAACCCGCCAGCCCCAGGGCTGCCCATTGCCGTGCAGAGCATGGACCAGAACCCCCAGATCCACCTTCACGCAGTGCAGCAGCCACCTTCCATAGCCAGGAGTGCTTCTCCCACTTTTCCAGCACTTCTCGGGCTGCTGTGGGTGATCCCAAACGGTGCCTTTTGCTGGCCAAATCCCACTGGCAAACCCAAGGATTAAACAAAGACAAACCGCATCTCCAGAGGGACACAGGCCTCCGTGTCATCCCCTGCCATGGACTCACACACACATCTACAGCCAGCAGTGCTGGAGAGGGGGAATCCAGTGTTTTCACCCAAACACTGAGGGCTTTGGACACCGAGGAAATGGAATCAGGTTGTTTGGCAGAGAAGCCAACTGGCCTTCTGCCCCAACTACAGCTGTGCAGGGCTTTTGCAAGGCACACTAATTCACACACATTGAAATCTGCGCTTCCCTCCAGCTCCCAGAGTTATCCCGAAGAATCTGCTGCTAGGAAAACAAGGAGGGTAGCGCAGGCAGGCAGCCGAGCCAGCTAGGAACAGATCCCATTCAAACATATGGGTAAAACCAGGACCATTTTCCGCCTCATTCCCAGCTTCCAACCCTCCTGTACTCCAGATATAAAACCTTCACGAAGTTTCTATCTGTGCTGGCCTGGAAGCCTCCATCTGAAGCAGTGGGTGCTGTGGTGGGAGCAACCTCTCCCGCCTGGCAGGATGCACCGTGCTGGGGCCTCTCTTCATGGGTGCCTTTGCCAGTGATAACATCTGGCACAGCGAGAAAACCCGATGTGGTTGCAAGTTTTCCCTGTGCTCTGCTCACGAGGGCTTTGCTGGATTTGGAGCTCTTTGCCTCCCCAAAGGCTCACAGCCGTGCCCCTGCTTTGCTCAGCACCCAAATCCTGCTAAAGTAGTCCTGCGGCTCCCATCTCCTGCTCCCATTCAGGCACTGGGGGGAGTTAATGGGGGCTGGCTGCCCCTGCCCCAGCCCCATTGCCCCCCCGGGGCATGCCAAGCCCAAGGAGCAGCCCCAGCCCTGCTATAGCTGTGCTGGGGAAGAAGAGGCTGCTGCTATTGCAAAAGCAGAGGCAGCACCTTCCCCCAGACAGCCTAAATTAAGCTTTCAGCTCTGCAGAAGGAGGCTGGAGCTGGGCAGATCTCCTCCGGGCTGCCCTGCCATCATCCATCCTGAGGGCAGCAGAGCCAGCACATCCCATGGCCGGGTACCGCAGGACCCCATCCCTCCTGGCAAGTGAGTTCTACCCCATCAGTGCTCGGTCTCGCTGTGACACATCCCGGGCTGCAGGGTGACAGCCCCACCGGGCTGGTGCCACAAGCCAGAGGCAGTGGCCTGGCCAGAGAAGGTCATCCGGATCGGCTGGACGGAGCGGGATGAAACGGGGCCTTCTCCTGTCCCTTGCACAACCCGTAAGGGATCCATCCCGCTGGCTGTGCCAAGCCGGAGGGACAGACCTCGTGTCTCCAGCGCAGGGTGGCACAGCCAAGGGAGATCACGTCCCCCGTCACTGGGGACAGGGGACAGTGCAATGGGAAGACGCTCTGCAGAGCTGGGAGCTGAGCCCCGGGGGAGACCCCTACGCCCCTTCGCATCCCCCCGCTGTGCCCCCCACGCCGGACCCCCAGGTGTGGGCAGGGGGAACCGACCCCCGCCAGGCTCACCTATAGAGAAGGACCCTGCTCTGCCCTCCTCTCCCCGCGGCTCCACTCGCCTGCCCTTCGCCCACCATCAGCACCCAAGGGGGGGTCTGGACGTGCACTCCGGGACCCCCGTGCACCCTCCGTGCACCCCCCCCAATGCACCCCCATGCACTGCCCGCCGCCGGCACCCCCGGACATCCCCAGATCCCAGCACCCCCCCCCCTGCGCTCCCACCTGCTCCCCGCTTCCATACGGGCACCCCTCGCCCCCCCCAGCCCCGCAGCCCCGGCCCCGGCCCCGGCCCTACCCGCGGTGCCGGTGCCGCCGCCGCCCCTCGCAGCCCGACTGCACCGGGGAGGAGGCTGCGGGCAGGAAAGTTGCGGCAGCTCCGCCCTCGGAGCGGGCCCGGGGGGGGGGGGGTGGCGGCGGGCGGGGGCAGGGGCCGGGGGTGGCGGCGGGTCCCGCTGGTCCTGCCCCTGCCCGGACGGGACGGGACGGGACGGGTCCCCCCTCCCCGGCGGCACCGGCTCCGCCGCTGCCCGGCCCGGGAGGGTCTGCCCTGAGCCGGCTGCCGGGTGAGAGCACCCGGAGCATCCCTTACCCAGCCCGGGCAGGCTCTGACCCCCATGAGGGGCACCCTCCTTATCCCATCCTGGGACACCCCCTTTCCCGGCCCTGTACATTCCCTTCATCCCATGCTGGGGCACCCCCCTTATCCCATCCGGGGAAACCCCCTTTCCCAGCCTTGTGCATTCCCCTCATCCCATTCTGGGGCATTTCCCTTTCCCAGTCCTGTGCATTCCCCTTTCCCAGTCCTCACCCTATTCCCTCCTCCTGGCATTGCTGGGGACCTGCAGCTCGCCACGTTTCAGGCACTGGCAGGGCAGCAGCAGGGCCTCCCCTTGCTGCCAGTTGCCCCACTGCATAAAGGGTTTGGGGCATTTGGAGCAGGGCAAAACCCCAGCACTGCTGTCACCACCTTGGGGACACCCTGGGACCAAGAGCCCTCTACCAGGGGTGCTCTGCTCCCTGTGACAAGGGGACCAGAGCCGCGGGTGTGGAGCCGGCATCACCCCCTGCTTCACCGCCCTGCAGAGCTCCTGGGTGCTGCTGCAGATGGGACCAGCCTCGCTCCCTTCCCTGCCTATCCACACCACAGCATGAGCTCTTGGCTTCATTTTTTTTTGCCTAATTTCCTTTCTTCCTGCCCCTCTTTGCTTTTTTTGTGCTTTTCTGGTTTTGGGGGAGACTGGCGCTGGCCCGGCAGCCCCCGGGGAGCAAACCGGGCCGTGTATTTGCACACCAGACAGAGAAACCAGTCCTGCCTCCTGCATCTTCCCGTCCCTGCCTCTACCCGGGGCTCCTGCGCTCCCCAGCCTGCCCCGAGAGGTGCCAACCAGCCCGAGCCGCTGTGCCGGATGTTTGGGAGCAGCCAGCCTGGCCTTGGGCTGCTGGATGGGGACCAAAGGGGCACACGGGACCCGCCTGGGTGGGTCTGCACTGCTCGGGGGGCACCTGCTTGGCTCCCAGCTCTCAGGGCCACCCCTGCACCATGCCGGGTGCAGACGGATGCGCCTCTTTCTCTGACACGGAGTGGGGCTTCTTGTTCTCAGCCACGTATGGAGAAGAGAAGCAAATCCCTAGCACACCCCATGGGTGCTCCTGCAAGCACCCTGCTGCAGAGGCAGCCCCGGTGCTGACGCCTTGAGCTGATGTTGCATGGGGACATTCCCTTCCCTTCCCTCCCTCCCCTGCTGCCATCCCTGCTCTGAACCAAACCTCTCCTTTCCAACCCCGTAGGGGTTTGGGGAGATCCCATCCCTGCTCCCAGCGCTCCGGACCCTCAGTGATCTCCTGCCCGGAGGCTCTGGAAAGTGTGACGGGTGCCGCAGGCAGCGCCTGGTGGTGATCTCACTTCGGAGGGGGAGGAAACGGGACACACTCTTTCCAACAAACCTGTGGAGTTACTTTAAAATTCCAGGCTGGCAGCAAACGCGCTGGATGGAGGCGAGGGGTAGGAAAACGCTGAGCCTGGACACGGTCGGGCCTGACCTTTCCCCACCGCAGACCTGCCATCCCAGCGCACAGTGAGCAATGGGAAGACTATTTGGATCCATCTGGTTTGTGTGCTGAGCCCTGAAACACAACACTCGGACGGCAAAGGGAGCTGCTGGGGCAGCAGCGAGCCAAAAAGCTTGGCTGCGCTTCACAGCCCTTCTCCCATGCAGGGAGCTGCTGGGTTTTGAGGGGGTCTGACACCACAGAAAGGCAGGGGATGGATTTTGGGCACCAGGTTCGTGTCGAGCATCCCCATCCCTCCCTGTGATGGGGGTTGCTTGGGGAAAAGCAGGCTGTGAGCAGAGCAGCCGCATCCGATACAGCATCCCATGGGGACAGTGACACACCGGCCCCGGCGCCGCATGGCAGCCGAGATAACAGCTGGGCTGGAGCAAAATAGACAGAAGGGTGGAAGCAGGGTGTGAAAATGGGTCTGGTGCCTGTAAGGGGATGGGTCTGGCACGGGGGGGATGGTCCAGGCATGGGAGCAGCCACAGGAACACCGGGTATGTGCCTGTATTTGTGTCACTGCGGCTGAAGCGACAGTCACGGGTGGAGAGGAGCGGCTGTGAAACAGGGCTGCGATGGCAGAGAGCATTGTAGGGAGCAACCAGCCCGAAATAAAGTGCTTAGTTGTTAACCCAGGGCCTGAAAGAGAGATGGCTCCAAGCCATGTAATGAATGCTTGCTCATTCCCACCCCAGCGGAACAGGGAGAGGAGTCCCTGTCCCATGCAGCACCCCAGGAGCTGGCTCTGGTCACCCTCTTTCGATGGGGTCCTCCCAAGCCCCATGGCCAGGGTGAGGGTCGGGAATCCCACCCCATCCGTGCCCCACTCTGGGTTCAGTTGAGTTCTTGGAGACTGCAGGAACCCTCCCGCTGCCTTCCCACCCCCCTCCCGAGAAAAGCCACAGATTCCTCCTATTTTTAAGGCCACAGAGATCATCTCAAGCTAAAACAGTCCCAGGGCTCAGCCGGGAGCCTGGGACCTCGAACCCAGCAGAGGTCCTGCTTTGGGAAGAGCTGGGTGTTCCCAGCGCCGTGCCAGGAGCATGCAGTGCTCTTTGGGATGGGGGGCATGGCCAAAGGGGGTTTCTCTTACCCGCTTTCCTCGGCTCGCTGGCGGGCTGGATGAGGACCCGTTGGATCTTCACCACTTTCCACTCCTGGCTGGGGGTGGTTGTGGGGCTGGTTGCTGCAGTGGGCACCCCTGGGGCAGAGCTGGGGCATTTTGGGGGGGCTGCAGGTTCAGCCACCAAGGGCAGGCTGCTGCCATCCAACATGGGACCCATCGTGTCCCCATTGAGCTCCTCGGGCTTCCCTCCCTGTGGTCCCATCAGTCCCTCATGCTCAACCGGCTCGGAGGCAGGAGCATCCCGGAGCTGATGGCATCTCTGCACCCCTCTGCTCCCCATCTCCTGCCAGCAGCCAGCATCCCCCTGGGTGTCCCCCTCTGCTGTGCCACAGACACAGGGGTCATGTGCAACCTGGCCGGGCTGGGAGTGCAGGCAGGGCTGCGGGATCCTCGCCTTCAGCATCGCTGCTGCTTTCTTGCACTGGCACTTTCAAACCTGCTCTGCATGGCCAGGGAGGTGGCTCCTCCCCGGCAGCATCCTTCAGACCATGGGCAGCATCCCAGAGGGAAGATGGACGCGTGCTCGGGGCTTTACTCCTCTTGCAGGCAGGAGGACCAGGCCCGATGCCACGGGAGCAGGCAGCTTTTGGAGATCCAGAGGCAGGGATCTGCCCAGAGGAAAGCCCGCAGCAAGGAGGATTTTGCAGGGATTTCTCTTTTCCAGGCAGGCAGAGGTGCAGTGTCCAAGGACCTGTGCAATGGGAAGAGGGAGCATTGAGGATGCTTGTACATGCACTGATTTCTTCTGGACACAGCCAGTCAGGTGGCTTCTGACATCCCCAGCCTGGGATCCATGAGGAAGAATCCCCTGAGATGCTCACTTGGCAATGCCCCCCACCCCAGCATCCTCATCCCAGGGACAGCACCCAGGGCTGGATCCCTGTGCCCAGCTCCCTTTGCTTGTGCAGCTTGTGCAGACACCCCAGTTGGTTGCCAGCACTGGGGGCCGCTGCTGCTTATGAGGTGGGAGCATTCAGGGTTAGCCCGATGGCTCCCACCTGCATCCTGCTGGATCCAGCTCCCAGTATCCAGCCAACAAACCTGTCCCTAACCATGGAGTGACTCAGGCGGCACCGGGACAAGCGCAGACAGACTGGCTTCCCTTGTGCCCAGCGTAAATCCTGCTCACTGACAGCACGCAGCGACACAGCCGAGAGGAGAGGTACCAGCTGGGAGACAGGGATGTCATCGCTCCCAGGACAGGATACGGGTCACAGCACACTCCTGTGCTGTGAGTGCTCCGCAGTGTCACCAGCCCTGCTCAGTGCAGCGCTGAGATCTAGGGGAGCATCCGCTGGGAATCGCTGATGGGGGAGACCCACAGAGCGCATGAACCATGCTGGGATTCCCAACACAGCTACCAGAGGAGAAGAGGTTTCTGCTCAACCCAAGCTCCTCCCTGAGTTATTGCAAGGCTTCTGGGTGCAACGTTGCTATAGTCCTCTTCATCAGGGACTGCAGTGACAGGACAAAAGGGAAATGGGTTTAAACTTGAACAGGGGAAGTTCAGGTTGGATATAGGGAAGTTTACTGGGAGAGTGATGAGGCACTGGAACAGCTTGCCCAAAGGAGTGGTAAATGCCCCATCCCTGACAGCGTTCTAGGCCAGGTTGGATGGAGTCTTGGGCTATATGGTGTGGTGTGAGGTGTTCCTGCTCACGGCAGGGGGTTGGAACTGGATGATCTCAATGTCCTTTCCAACCCAAACCGTTCTGATTCTATGATTCTATGAACAAGAAAACACCCTAGGTCCATGCCACAGGTTGAGCTGAGGCAGGAATGCATCCTGCTACAACACTTTCCCATCCTGTTGGAGGCAAAGGCAGTTTGGAAGCAGCTTTGCTGCTGAACAGGCACTCAGGCACTTCCCAAACACAAGGCTGCATTTTCTGGAGGATTCCCAAAGGAAATCTTCTGCCCTTTCAGAAATCCTTCCTCTGCCGCAGTTACTCAGCACGGATTTGCAGGGAGATCCTGGGGGGAACATTTCAGTGCTCCTCTCTGAAAGAGTAATCTCACCCTGCTCTTTATGTAATTCCCCAATAGTCGCGGGAAGCCACCCACATCTTCCCTTAGAAACAGGGCAAGTTGTGGAAGCTGGAGGGAGCTGGCTTATCTCAAATGAGGACAAAGAGAAAGCGGCTGCAAATGGCCCCAGCCCGGCCTGGGTCAGCAGAGATGCTCTTGGAGCGGCTCTGCTGCTTCCCCACTCCCACCTCCTTGCCCCGTCCTTAGGGACAAGGCTTCTCAGGCAGCACGATTCCAATCCATCCTACCTCAGAGCTGCATTGTCGGCTTGCTGGGCAAGCCTGTACCACCCCAAAACCACCTTCCACAGCCACCCCTATCCTCTTGGGAAGCACAGATGGGCATATCCCAGGGGAGGACACCCAGGATCCCGGCACTCCCTGGGCAAACCCCTCCTTGGTGAGACGGGAGCAGCGGTGTTCCCTGAGGACACACTGCAGGGATGGGGCCTCCCACGCTACCGGAACATGGAATCACGCGTCTGCTGCCTCCCTGGGGCCAGTCTGAGCCCGGCACTGCAGCGGGGAATGAGGAGGGGGATGAGGAGGGGAACGAGTGCCGCCTTCCCTCCAGGACACGGCTCTTGTGCTCCACAGGCAGCACAGGAAGGGAATATTCATGAGTAACAGGCATCTCCCGCAGAAGCTGCAGGGCTGATCCTACAACCAGCCGGGTAGGATGGGGTACACCATTGCACCAGTGAAGAGGAGCAGCATCTCCAGCCATACCCCCGAACCCCAGCTGCGATAACCACCCACAAACGAGGCTGTAAAGGGGTGTGAGGGTTGTTTTGGGGACCATTTCAAGAGCGCAGCACCAAACTAAACAGCAAAGGATGCTGGCATTGGGCATTAGTGCAGGCTCACAGCTCCAGCAAGCAGCTGCACCCCAGCAAGCACCTCATCCTCCCCAGCAGCAGCGAGTCCATACAAGAAGCTACAAAATGGTGCCAAGGGAAGGAATAATAACAACAATAATAATAATATTAATAATGATGATGGTGATGATGATGAAAATCCCCTTCAATTCACAAGGTGCTGAAATCCGGCAGCGGGAAGACCTTCTGCTCCGTTCCTTTCCCTGCCCACTCGCCGGCGGGTGATGCACAGCCCCCTGCCTGCCTTCCTCACACCCTGCACCCCCCCGCTATGGAGAGGAGGGAAACCAAAGTTAACTTTCCACGTCCCACACAAGTATTTTTGGCAGGCGTCGCTGGCATCCAGGCTGCAGAGCCCGGGGGAGACGGGGTCTGATGGAAGCCTCCATCTCCATCTGCTCCCAGCACCCGCATGGGGGACCCCACAGCACAGGAGGTGGCACCAATGCAGGATAATGGGGTGCAGCTCCAGGGCAGCCATAGGGATGCCATAGAATAGGGGGTTAGATATGCACCCCGTCACCCCGAGCCACATCCTCGGTTTGCATCACCATCGAGCCAGGCGGGATGGGGATGGGAAGGGGAGGGAAAGCTGTCCCGGCACAGCGGGGGCTCTCGGGTTTCCCCCCGGTCAGGCAGCGGGTCGCTGTCACTCAGGCAGGACCCTGCTGACCAGATTTGCAGTCCCCAGCTCCGGTCACAAGATCGGCTCTGTCCCGTTCCAAAATAGCCCAGCAGCAATGTATGTACATCAGGGGATCTTTGCACCTTCCCGGTGCCAGCAGCTGAGCGTACCCCCAGGGGAGATGGGCACCTTCCCCATTCCATGGTGGGGCAAGGAGCTTGGGTCAGTGCCATCCCCAAAGGGCAACTGCACATACCGGGGGACCCTGTGTTTCTTTAAGGGAGAGCTGCCTCCTGAGCTGATACAGGAGAGGTCTGTGCTGTGTAGCCCTCACCCAGTGGCATTTAGAGCCATGCCTGGGCCATCCTCTGCCCAATCACCCTCCCATCTTCTGCAACCCAATATCCCCCCCCAAGCTCCCTGGGTACCTGGCCAGGACCTGCTGCTGAGCTGTGTGATGGGGGAGGCACAGCAAGCCCTGTGAACCCCACACCTGAACCCTAAAGCCCTGCAGGGCTGGGTCCAGCTTGGTGCCACCCCAGCATCTTCCATGGGAGAGAGGGACTGCTTCCAGCATGGAAGGGATGGCAATGGGAGCGATGCGGCTGTGTGGTGCGGGATGGCTGAGGGCTCTCCCCATGGATCCAGTGCCCATGGAAGGGGCACAAGGAAGCTGGGATGTGATGTGATTGCGTCCCTTGGCATCACAGGTCCCCAGCCTCACTGAACCAGGGTGGACCCTGACCCCAGAGGAGTGTGGGCAAGGCTGGCTTCATCCTGGCTCCGGCAGGCGAGACAGGGGCTGGCAGGCACAGCAGCCAGCAGCGTGCTGAGTGAGGGAAACAAAAGCCCTTTGCAGCGCTGATTTACTACCTTGACGGAAACCGGGATGGAAAAAACAACATTCCTGAGTGCCTGTCCCCAGGCAACCCGCGCCGTCCCCGGCCTGCCTGCGGGGACACGGGCTGCCCGTCCCGCATGCGGTAGCTGTGCCCCCATCCCCTCTCCATACCGAGAGGTGCCCCCATCCCGTGCCCGTGGCTGGTGGGAGAAGCAGCAGGAGGAACAGCCTGGATAGCACGGGGGATGCGGGGCACCGGAGGAGTTGCTGTGATTGAGCAGTGAGCAGAGCAAGGGAAGAGGAGGACAGTGGCATCCGGACAGCTGGACCATGTCCTCCCTCCCTCCTCCAGCCCACGCTGGAAGCAAGGATGGGGCTGCAGGAGCTGCTCAGCATCTCTTCCGTTGCTCTGCATCCCTTTGCACCACTGCATGATCCCTCACGCAGGCCCTGGGCCACTGCTCAGCCCACTTCATAACCCGAGGCTGGGGGGAAATCCAGCAAACCCGGATGGTCCACAGGGATTTACATCCATTGAGCATCAGCCTGTGCACTCCACCCCAGCGACACTGACCCTGCTCAACCCTTCTGGCTGGATTCAGAAGGCAATTACCTCTTCCCATCCTCCCGAAGAGGGCAGGTCCCAGCCTGTCCTGGCCTTTGCTTATCTTGGACCCTGACTCCAGCTTCAGCTGCTGCATTCCCGGGATGAGGACAGCCCCAGCCCTGCTGTCACAGCTGCCTAGAGCCCTTCCCGGTGCAGTTTTCGGTCCTGCTGTGGGACCCCAACCCCAAGGTGCCACCGAGGTGGGCGAGCATCCCCAGGGACCCTGCAAACAGGGCGGTGATCTGGAGCCCTGCCTGCAGATCCGCTGCAGGAAGCCAGGGGTGAAACTGCAGCCTGGCCTCTTCAGAGCTCAAATGAAACAAAACCCAGGTCTGAGGGAGAAAACAGCCTTCAAGAGCAGCCCCTGGGCTGGTGGCACCGGGATGGAGAAGCCCATCCTTACCATTATAAACCAGCTGAGAGCTGAGAGATAAACTGGGGGCTCCTTCCAGCCCCTGGGACACACAGAGCTGAGGCTCCCATCCCGGAGGAGGCAGGGCAGGAAGGCTCACACCATGGTACAGCCGGACAAGCTGGAGTGAGCCGG